GCATGTTGGGCAGGCAGGAGGCAGGCAGGGAGGCAGGCAGGCAGGCTGTTAGCAGGCAGGCAGCAGGGAGGCAGGCAGGGAGGCTGGCAGGGAGGCTGTTAGCAGGGAGGCAGGGAGGCTGTTAGCAGGCAGGCGGCAGGCAGGCAGGCAGGCAGCCCGTTGCCTCGCAGACAAGCATGCCAAGGGGTGGGAGGTCGAGGGGCGAGATAGGGAGCCTTGCTCTTTCTCTGGCACCAAGTTTGCCTTGGAGTAGTCCCGGTACAGGCAGAGCTGGCAGGGGGGGCAGGCAGCGCCAGGAGAGAGGAGATCCTGGCCTGTCCCGCACGCGGCAAACCTTGGCTGCCTGGCGCCTAGAAAGTCACTTCCCTGGCAAATGTTGTTCCCTCAGCAAGCGCAGAGGTGCTGGGAGGAGAACGGGTGGTGGGACAATGGCACGGATGCGCCCGTGTCCCTGGTGGCTCCTCGGGCATTGACCCCTCGGCCGAAATGGATGGGAGGCCTCGTGCCAAAGCCCCTCGCACTCCCCCCGCCCGGTGGGTCCGTGAGTCAAGAGGATTGGGATGTCCGGGGCTTGAGCTTTGGGGAAGCAAGCCCACGTCTCGCTGCAGATGAACTGCTTATTCCTTGTTCTGCTGCTGCGATAGGATGTGACCGGACACCGGCCGCGTTGTGTCCGTCGTCTCGCTTTCCATCAGCCGCCATGTAAGCAGATGTGAAGGATGCAGCCTGTGTGCCACCCTGGCCTCTGCAAGACCACCGCTCCCCTCGAGATTGGTTGGTACCCGGCATGGGCAGGCTCTTACAACAAAGGCCCCGGTGTCTGGCTATCCACACCGTTCAAGATTTACAAAGGCAAAGAGGTGGAAATCAAGATCTGCCTCCTTCTCCAGCTGTATGGGAACTCATGAGCTGGGACAGCTTCCAGTTCCCCATCTAAAACGCTTCCTGCCACATGCTTTGGGCCTTTGATTTGGGTTGGTTTTGCACCTTTGAGTGATCCCATCCCTGTCTGGATTCTCACTGTTCTTGAAGAAGTGGATGGTGAAGGTCCACAAACCCCCATATGCATTTGCCACTCTTTGTGATGCCACCAGCTGCTTGGCCCAGAGAGGATCCCTGTCACTCTCTGCAGAGAGAACGGCATCTGCCTGGTGCTTCTCACTGTTGCTGTCGGCTTGCGGCAGAGCTCCCTGGGCCTCTTTCAGCAAGGACAGGAGTGAACTAAATTGATGGCCTCCCAAAATGAAAGATGGACTGGGAATGGAGGCCACAATGAGGTGGCAAAGAGAAGAGATGGGGGATAACTCACCAGCTTGTGCTTCTGCCCTCAAGAGGTGCCCAGCCTGTTTGCACAAACCCCACAGCAGGCTCACGGGCTCAGGTAACAGCAGCCGAGGACACGTTCCTCATGCACGCACCGGAGCTGGCCGGCTGTGGCTCGGGCCAACCCTACCACTCCTGCCTGCAGCTGGGACTGGGGGTCCTGGAGGAGAGGGGATGCCTTAACCATCGGGCAGGAGAAGACACATCCTGGAAAGCACCCTGAGACGTGGTGGTGGGGAACCTTGCTGCTGCTCTTGGAGGTTTTACTGATCCTTGCCACAAGATGGGGCTGGGTAATGCTGAAGGAAAGCTGCTTTCTCCCTTCTGCCATCATTGCTTGTCCCACGGTGCCGTGTTATGAGGACCAACAAGTCCCCAGTCTCACCCAGGGCTCACTGGAGACTCTGGGAAAGGCTGCTGACACTGCTGACATCTCCAGGTATCACATTTAAAGCATCTTCTCTGTAGAAGCTGCTCCCGTCTCCATACCACTGCAATGCACAGTTGCTGGAAACCATGTGGGCAGTTTTGTTTCCTCTTCTTTTTGGGTTCTGCTTTTGGTGTTTGCCAACAGGAACGCTGGAGAAACCACTCTGCTTCAGGAAGCATTCAGAGCAAATTTGCTTTGCATCTGGAAAGATCCATCTGCCTGGCCAACCTGACCTCCTGTGTTGGTCAAGGAGCAGAAAACTGCAGAGGAACCTCTGAATGAACCAGAGACTCTGGCTTTTAAACGCACAGCTCTTGACCGAGCTTTGAGGTATTGGGAATGCCTCGTTGAAACAAATAGGGGGAGAGAAGAAGGTTCAAGGAGATGTCAGGGTGAGAAGGGATGGCTGTGCCCCACACCAGGCATCCCCCAAGTACCTAGGACCACACTCCCTGGGCTGGGGTCTCACTGATAGAAAAGAAAATCCTCCAAGAAAGGGAGCAAGTGGAGGCTTAGTGCTGCCTTGTGCTGCCTTGCAGAGCCGTGTCCATTGCCACTCTGGGCCAGCTTGGAGGGCAGGGTAGGCAGAAAACCATTGCTGTCACCTGCAGGGTTAGTCCCTGCCATGCTCTGCTGACGGGGCAGGGCTCGGCACTGCTCGCTAACTTGTGACCAGTCTCTGCCCAACTTCTTCCTCTATAATCAGATTTCTTCATTTATTTATGTCCTGCTTTCAACCATCACATAATTCCCAGCCTGCTGTCTCCTCGGGGATTGGCATCGCTTGTGGGTGAGCAAGGCAGCTCCTCGCCAGTGCTGCCGGGGAGATGGCCGCACTTCCAGCCCTGTCCTGAGGCCCATCCAGGATAGGCTGTGAGGCTGTGTTACATCAGTGTGGGCCCTGCCTGTGCCGAGGTTCCCCTTGACTCCCAGCTCATCATCTCGTTGCCCTGGCCCTCAGGCGCTGCAGGGTCTTGCCCCCATGGGTCCCCTGGATCTTGCTCCCCTTCATTCCCCCAAACCCTGCCTGCCTGTGACCCTGGGGTCCATAACTACCCACAGCTCTGGGAATCCTCAGCGTTGACTCCCACCCCCCTCCCCACCCAGCCTCTGGGGCATCTTGGTGACTCCCCATCTCTGTCCCAGCTCCAAGACCCCATGCCATGTCCCTGCCCTGGCTCTGTGTCACCCTGACAGCCCCATGGTGACCTGCAGCACCCACAGCACTTCATAAGAGATACCTCCCTGCGTGAGGGGTGTTGGTGAACCATCTGCCAGGGCTCTGCGAGCACCCACGGGACTTAGTGGCCCCAGCCAACCTCACCCTCTGCTCATGGCTCTGTGGGGTCTATTTAAGCTCAGCCCCAAGCACTTTGGCTCAGTCTTAGGCTGTACCCTTAGCTGTGTCTATCTCTGTGTCTCTCTAACCTCCCTGCGCATGGGTGGACCTTGGACCTATGCTGCAGATAGCCTTGTCCCCAGTCCTGTCTCCCAGATGGGCCTTGGACCTGTGCTGCAGCCTAGTCTCTTGTTCAGCCTCCATCTGCTGTTGCTCCTGGGCTCCCCCAGGCTGAACTGAACTCCTTAGCTTGCCTTGCCTGGGGCTGTCGCCAGAGGCTGTGCATGCTGCCACCACTTCCCTTGGGTGCTTCATCAGGAAGGGCACCCATGGCTCATCTGGTCCCCGCAGGACAGCCCTGCTCTCATTGCTCCTTGGCAGGGAGTTGGGATGGAAGGGGATGTTGTCACTCTGCTGAGCGCTGTGTCTTGAGCACAAATCCTCAATTACATGCTGTACTTGTTTTGATACTAGAGATGAGTTATTTTTTTCCTTTTCAGCTTGAGCATCTCCATGCTTTCTGAAATGGACAAGAGGGTTCCTTTCTGCCATCTCTTGTCCTTGAGCTTGGGCCATCATGGTCAGACTTACCTCTAAGGATACTCTGACACTGGACAGCCAAAAATCAGTGCCCTGCTGAAAGCTGGTAACAGACTTTTCACCCCCCCCAGCTATTGTACAAGGGGCTGTGAGAAGTCCTCACAGTGGAGATGATGAATATCATCAAAGACAAGGCAGCTCTACCAGTTTTTGCTGGGTGAAGGTTTACCCCTACTCTGTCCTGATTGGGTTTAGGCACTTTTCTCGCAGAGCACATGAGCCAGCATCTCTCCCTTCACCCATCACTTATTCCCAGCCCTGTCTTTGCAGGAGAGATGGATACAGGCAAACTGGTATAAACCCACAGATGCTCATTTCTGCCTTTTGCTTTGATAGAGCTGCACAGCTGAGTTTCACAGCTGGTGAAATCTGGACCCAGGGATGTCCACAGCAACCTTCCCCATGGCCACAGAGCAGGCAGCCAATCTCCAGGTAAACTGACTTGTCCAAGTGGGCCAGTTTTGCAGC